TATTCAGGTGCAAAAGACAGATGTGATTCCTACCCTAATGGAACTTAAAATCTAATAGGGAAGATAGACACTGAACAACTATTATCATAAGCATGACACAGGTTGCAAAAAGGGAAGTACCAGATGCTATGGAGTGATGAACTGGGGGAATTCTTGGTTTTGAGAAGTAAGAAAGTAGGATTAGGAAAACTCTCCTCAAGAAATTAAGATTTCAACCTAAACCCAAAGGATAAAGAGGATTTGGCATTGGACAAGTGAGGGAAGGAGAATTCCAGATGGAGGGAATACCCTGCCTACACAACCCCACTATGAAGTCACTCAGGTTACATGCTTTATCGTATAGCTGGAGAAGTGGTAGAAGAACAAAGTGATTTAAACAACGTTCAGAGAACATTGTTTAACAACTTAATTAGGACCATAGGCCATATTCCTTACCTTTCAGTGCAGAGCACACAATTGTCTCTTTCCTGACTCAAAACAGTAGCTGAGCCAGTCACTCTTTTTTTAAAAAAAATTAATTAATTATTTTTTTGGCTGCATTGGGTCTTTGTTGCTGCACATGGGCTTTTCTCTAGTTGCGGCAAGCGGGGGCTACTCTTCGTTGCAGTGCTCAGGCTTCTCATTGTGATGGCTTCTCTTGTTGCGGAGCATGGGCTCTAGGCGCATGGGCTTCAGTAGTTGTGGCTTGCAGGCTCTAGAGCACAGGCTCAGTAGTTGTGGTGCACGGGCTTAGTTGCTCTGCGGCATGTGGGATCTTCCCTGATGAGGGCTCGAACCCGTGTGCCCTGCATTGGCAGGCGGATTCTTAACCACTGCGCCACCAGGGAAGCCTGAGCCAGTCATTCTTATAACCCACCAGGCACATCAACCAGCCATGAACTAGACTGATTTAATAGATATAAATTTATAGCCTGTTTCACAGTGTGCAGGATGAGAACTAAAGAGCCCTAAATGGCTTTCATGCAGGAAGAGGGTAGAGTGTAGTGGCCGAGAGGGAAGCTTCATAGGTGAGAGCCAAGTGCTAAAAGCAGCTGCTCGTGACATTTCCGTCAGCAGTCCTCCCTCCTTCATTGTGTATGAGGTACACATCAGATGTTCTGGTTTATGATTTCAGCTTCAGAGGACATACCCTTTGAGATCTAAGCTCATGTGTCTCTCCCTGGCATGGTTCCTGTTCATTAACTGAACACTAAGCCCATCTGAGACTGATAACTAAATGCTGAGAATACTGGAACCCCTTTCTCCTACCTTCAAGGAGGTCTGGGATCTTGTGGAGTGGTTAAGTCTTAGGCCCAGGTGCCTAGTTGCTGTACTTGCTAGAAGGGGACAAAGCACAGGCTACCAAAAAGATTCTGTCCAGATGCCAGAACCATGTCAGACACAAGGTCACATACAGCTGCTGTCTTCTGTTTGTATCAACCAAAGGACAGTGTATTCTGTTTCCTTTGGAAGACACAGTAGAGACTAACTCATGGAGGTCCCAGGTAAGCCCCACTATATCTGTTAGGTAGACCATACCTATGGAGGGCAAGTCTTTGCCTTTTCATATTGTGTACACCTCTCCAGGTAAATAAAGTAGAAAAAAATCTATTATTTACAGGGGAGATGACAGAGGAAAGCCCTTACAGGCTTCTGCATCTTTGATTCAAGAGCACAGATCCTGATTTGACTGAGATGTCAGCAAATGAAATGATAAGTTTGCATACCACCTAAGAATCTCCGAAAATTTAAAAGTTCCTGATATTCTGATAATTTAAAAATATATTAATTTAGAGATTTCCATTAAGTATTGGTGTTGAAAACTGTTACTTGCTTCCAAAAATGCTGGGTCAGATAATCACTCGGATTACTTCCCCAAATTATCTCATGCGACTATGAAAACCATGGTAAAGTAAACGCCAAAGGGTTTTCTTTATAAAGAACAAAAATTACATAATGATGACAATAATCTGTTCTGATCTAAATGACAGCAGTCTCTGAGCACCAAGCCTGCTTGCTTTATCGTTAGGAAGCCACATTTAAATGAGTTTTGTGTCAGAAATCTTTTCATAACCGGATATTAGACCCAATTTGAGGTGACTTGAAAGATGGATTTGCTTTGAAAGGAGGGTGAGTACTTTAGTGAGTAGTGAGGTGATACAGGGCTTCTTAGTCCACGATATTACCTCTTATAATCAGTCTGTGGCCTTGAGGAAGGTAGCTGGGTGAAAAGGGAAGATGTGAGAGAGATTTAAATCAGCATCATGAAGTTGTATTTATAGGTGCTGTTTCAAATGGGCTACTCTGAAGATAACTACAGTGTATGGGTATTTTTTTGGGTGGGGGAGGCAAGTGCCAATTCAAAAACAGGAAGAAAAGCTATGTTACTATGTTATTTAAGATATAGTAAAATCCTAAAATTTTTCCATTTCTTTTCTCAGACTTAAAAGAACACAGTTGCCAACTACTACATTATACAATAAGTAGAAAGGAAGAAAGATGAGATAAAGATTCTAGGAATTAGAAAATCCAATTATTGTTTGGATTCTAAACACTATCTCTGTGCCCTTGGGTAAGTTTAGACTGTATTTTTTCATCTATAAAATAAAGGGAGTTGGATTATTTCTAACTCATCCCCCAGTTTGAATAGTCTATGGTTTCATCTGACAGGCAGACTCTCCCCTTTGTCATCCTTGTTGTGGTATATGGAATGCTCAGTCTTTTCCAGTTTAAAAAAAAAAAAAAAATCACTTACCACAGGTGCTTAAAACAAAATAGCTCTCTTATATAAAGTGTATTCCTTTTTTTTTCAGGTAGTCATGGCACAACTGAAAAATTATAAAAAAAATCCAAATAAAGATATAAAGAAAATAAATATCACCCTATAATCCCACCACTGAGTAACATGCTTAACATTTTGAGTTATAATCTTCTAATGTTACTTTTGTGCTCATACTTTACTTAAAAAATAAAATCGTGATGGATTTGTACTTAGTGTTTTGAAACCTTCATTCTTTAATAATACATCATAAATATTTCCCATATTTTTCTAAAGCATGATTGTTTTTCACGGCTACATTTGTAATCCAACATTTAGAAAAACCAGTTTTTTAGAAAAATATTTCTTTATTTTGGCTGTGCCAGGTCTTAGTTGTGGCACGCGGGCTCCTAGTTGTGGCGTGCGAGATCTAGTTCTTTGACGAGGCATCGAACCCAGGGCTCCTGCATTGGGAGCATGGAGTCTTAACCACTGGACCACCAGAGAAGTCCCGAGAAAAACCACAGTTTAACTCACCTATTATCGTTAAACATCTAGGTTATGTATAGTCTTTATTATAAATAACACTGCATTGAAAAAACCTGTACAAGAATATATAATTATTTCCTAAGGATAAATTCTCATAACTAGAATTACTCCTACTAGCCATGTATGAGAGTGCTGGTTTCCAGATACTCTTGAAAGTTATAAAACTGGTTTTATAATTTAAATACACCTTTGCCAATATGTCTTGTGAAAAACTCTTACATAATTAATTTACTTTTTAATACAGCAGGTTTTTATTAGTTATCTGTTTCATACATATTAGTGTATATATGTCAATCCCAATCTCCCAGTTCATCTCACCCCCACCCCCACTTTCCCCCCTTGGTCTGGACTTGATAATTCAGAGAAATCCCTGTCGATATCCATATCTGATTATTATTGAATACTTTTCTGTATTTTGCTTTGGTCATTTGCATTTCTTTCTTTGGTTAAATGTCTATTCCCATTCTTTTGCCCATTTCCCCACTTGCTCGCCACTTTTCTTTTTGAGATATCCTCAAATGCCTCACTTTTTTCAATGGGGTAGAGTATAGAAGGTGCCCTGCAGATTCAGGGAGATTCAGGTTTTTAAATTTTATTCATTTTTTATTAAAGTATAATTGATTTACAATGTTGTGTTAGTTTCAGGTATACAGCAAAGTGATTCAGTTATATACACAAGTAAGTCCCCTACATATGAATGAGTTCCGTTCTGAAAGCACGCGTGTAAGTCCAATTTGTTCATAAGTCCAACAAAGTTAACCTAGGTACCCAACTAACACAATCAGCTATATAGTACTGTACTGCAATAGGTTTACATTACTTTTAGCACAAATAATACATAAAAAACAAACACAAAAAATAAAGAAAACGTTTTTAATCTTACAGTACAGTATCTTGAAAAGTACAGTAGTACCAGCTACATCACTGCTGCTTTTAAGCTTGCTTCCAAACATCCTGGGCTTGAAATAAAGATACTGTACTCCTGTACTCTATATGGTACTGTACAGTAAAGTACACAAAAGCACAACTACTTGTAGAGGATGAACATGTGACAATGTACGCCAGACACATGAACCAACTTATGTGATTGGACATGGGAACGTATGTTCGCATCTTTGAAAGTTCGCAACTTGAAGGTTCGTACGTATGGGACTTACTGTATGTACAGTTTTTCAGATTCTTTTCCATTATAGGTTATTACAAGATACTGAATACAGTTTACTAAGTTTACTACAGTTTACTAAGCTATACAGCATCTTTCATTGCGGTGCACAGGCTCTTCGTTGCAGTGCGCAAGCTTCTCTCTAGTTGTGGTGCACAGGCTTAGTTGCCCTGTGGCATGTGGGATCTTAGTTCCCCGACCAGGGATCGAATCCATGTCCCCTGCATTGGAAGGCAGATTCTTAACTACTGGACCACAAGGGAAGTCCCAATAATGGAATATTTTTAATTTTATTTATGTTTTTGTTTTTGGCTTGTTGGGTCTTCGTTGCTGCTCATGGGCTTTCTCTAGTTGTGGCGAGCCGGGACTACTCTTTGTTGTGGTGCGCAGGCTCTCCTTGTGGTGGCTTCTCTTGTTGCGGAACATGGACTCTGGGCGCATGGGCTTCAGTAGCTGTGGCTCGCAGGCTCAGTAGTTGTGGTGCATGGGTTTAGTGGCTCCACGGCATGTGGGATCTTCCTGGACCAGGGATCAAACCTGTGTCCCCTGGATTGGCAGGCAGATTCTTATCCACTGCGCCACCAGGGAAGTCCCTGAAATACTTTTAGAAAGACATTAAGACTTCATTAATTTTTTGCATTGAACATTAATAAATCTTAAACATCAGTAAGCCAATACTGGATAAACTGGAGGAACACACATTGCAGGTATTCAATTTTTAAATGTACAACTTCCTAGACTGTATCAAAATTATGATGGCAGAAAAATTTACATTCAGATATTTGACAATTTGACTCATCAGATTATGTGGGTGGATTGGCTAGGTAAATAAAAAGGCAAAAACCTTGGAAGTGGCTACCTTCGTTAGAACTTTCTAAAAAACAAAACAAAACAAAACAAAAAGCTTTCAGTGATCCTGACAGATGCGGTGCTCTTTAGACCCCTTAGGAAAAACACTAGGCTAGAGACAATGGAAACCCACAGAATCCCCTTGCTGGACTCTGACTTACTGGCTGAGCAGGTTATTGTTGACAGCTGATCATTCAAAAGAACAACTTGTAACATCATGTACAGAATCACAAAGCACATCTTCACATAGCTTATTGCCCCTTTACCTTTTTCTGAGCCTATACAGATTCTTTTCTGAGCATGTATTTATTATTATTCTCTTTCCTCTTTTTTTATTTTTGTTTTTTGTGTTTTTTGGTTGTTTCATGTGTATAACTATATTTACAATTTATTTTTTAGAAAAGGTAGAAGTTTGTGATAAGTTTTTGATTCTGTAACAAACACTGTCCTATTGACTTAAGGAAATCATTTCACGGTCTTTTCTGGAGCATCTTTTTACTAAAACTTTAATATTGAAATGTGCTGGTCATGATATTGAAATTAATCTAATGTACCCAAAGAGCAATAAATCTTATCCATTAGAAACTGTTAAGTGAAAAAAGGAGAGGTACAAAATAGTATATACAGTATGCTACCATTATATATATATATAAAAATCTATGTATTTACTTATATATACATAGAATATCTCTAGAAGCATATAAAAGTAACATATTAATAAAAATACTACTGGTAATATTAGTTGACTGTGGGGATGTGAGGTGAATGGCTGAGGAACTGGGATGTAAGATTTCTTTTTCACTGTATATTCCTTTGTATTATTAAAATTTTGTCCCATGTACAGGAATTAACAAATTTTTACAAATAATTTAATTATAAAAATCTTATTACACATAGTTAAGTATTCAATAAACATGGAATGAATGAATGAATGGATGAATTAAGTACAATGAATGAATGTCTTAAACATGCACTTGGATTACAAAAGCCTTGTGGAATCCGTAAGTATAGCAGTGGTATTGCTAAAATGGATGTGCCAAAACGGTAGCAAACTTTCTGTAAACACCTTCAGAAATGGCAGAAGTGTGGTGCAGCCAGGAAGAGTGCTTTGGTTAATAGAACAACAACATTTTTATAATTGGTTCTAGGCTAGTGCTTTAAAAATTCCTAAGTTGGGACTTCCCTGGTGGTGCAGTGGTTAAGAATCCGCCTGCCAATGCAAAGGGACATGGGTTCGAGTCCTGGTCCAGGAAGATCCCACAAGCCAAGGAGCAACTAAGCCCGTGTACTACAACTACTGAGCCTGCACTCTAGAGCCCACGAGCCACAACTGGTGAGTCCACGTGCCACAGCTACTGAAGTCCACACGTGCTAGAGCCCGTGCTCCACAACAAGAGAAGACACTGCAATGAGGGGCCCGCGCACCACAACGAAGAGTAGCTCCCGCTCACCACAGCCAGAGAAAGTCCGTGAGCAGCAACAAAGACCCAACACAGCCATAAATAAATAAATAATTCCTAAGTAAACAAAACCAGATTATCTTCCATCCCCTAAATCTACGGAAGAATTACTAATTGGCAAAAACACCTCTTGTTTTTGTCAGATGTCAGGTCCCGGGACTTCCCTGGTGGTCTGGTGGGTAAGACTCAGCACTCCCAATGCAAAGGGCCTGGGTTCAATGCCTGGTCAGGGAACTAGATCCTGCATGCATGCCACAACTAAGAGTTCACATGCTACAACTAAAGATCCCGCATGCTGCAATGAAGTTCCCGTGTGCCACAACTAAGACTTGACACAGCCAAAATAAATAAATTTTTTTTCTAAAAAAGGTCCAAGCTTGTCTAGTGGCAGTTTTATCAAACTTCTTCTCACTGCTAAACAGTGAAATTTCATAACTGCATGAAACTAAATGTCTTAAGAAGAGAAACAAAGTCTGAATTGGAAGAAAAAACTAGTCATTTTGTTAGATTCTAAATTGAACCAATCCATTACTCTTCATTACATTACAAGGGATAAGGAACTTTCACATATATATATATGGCATATATTTGCTGACCTGGCCAATATTTTTCTGAAAAATTATGAAAGGTAGAGCAAGCAAACTTCAAATCAACATTTTTACTACATCTTTTACTTCAGTGAAGCTAATCAAGGATTTATACCAAGAGCAAAGTTACTTGAGGTTTGTTTGCTGCTTCCTATGCTAAGATAAGCAAACCAAGTACCAGCTGTGTCCTCAGGTCAAGTCTCGAGGGCAAGCATGGACCTAAAAAGTGATAGTTTATTGGAGTCAAAATAATAAAGAGACCGACACTGGAATTCTAGTTATTCTTGTTGGGGAGGTGAAGGCTGAATTGTGGAATTTACTGCAGCACAGATTTTTAAAGCGTTTTGCCAGAAAAATAAAAGACAATCAGATAAAAGTGGCTTTACATTAAGCAACTCTACGTAAAATGCTTACAACAGTGCCTGGCACAGAGGCCGTGCTATATAAATGTTAGTTGTTATTTACCATCATTATTATGCTGACACCACTTTGAAATAATCAACCAAGTTGTACTAGCATATACGTAAGTTTATATAAAGCAATCTGTATGATACCAGAAGAAACAGTCCCTGTTTGTAAGAAGTTTATAGCGATACATTGGGAAGGAGAAAAGACAGAAAGTTAAATTGTTAAAGAAAAAAATATTTAAGTTTCTTTGAGGTAATGTCCTTTGCTAGTTCAGCTGGAGTCCTGCATCAAAGGTTGAGAGAAGTTCATAGCCTATTCTTTTTTTTTTTTTTAACGTTTTTATCGGAGTATAATTGCTTCACAATGGTGTGTTAGTTTCTGCTTTATAACAAAGGGAATCAGTTATACATATACATATATCCCCATATCTCTTCCCTCTTGCGTCTCTCTCCCTCCCACCCTCCCTATCCCACCCTTCTAGCTGGTCACAAAACACCGAGCTGATCTCCCTGTGCTATGCGACTGCTTCCCACTAGCTATCTATTTTACATTTGGCAGTGTATATATATGTATATGTATATATGTCCATATATACACTACCACTCTTTCACTTTGTCCCAGCTTACCCTTCCCCCTCCCCGTGTCCTCAAGTCCATTCTCTAGTAGGTCTGCGTCTTTATTCCCTTCTTGCCCCTAGGTTCTTCAGAACCATTTTTTTCTTTTTTTAGATTCCATATATATGTGTTAGCATACAGTATTTGTTTTTCTCTTTCTGACTTACTTCACTCTGTATGACAGACTCTAGGTCCATCCACCTCACTACAAATAACTCAATTTCGTTTCTTTTTATGGCTGAGTAATATTCCATTGTAAATATGTGCTACATCTTCTTTATCCATTCATCTGTCGATGGACACTTAGGTTGCTTCCATGTCTTGCATAGCCTATTCTTTTTAAAACAGAGATCACTGATATAAACAGAAATTACACAGTAATAACTTATTGCTTTTCAACAATTTGCATGTCATAAAACTTTTTTTTTTAAACTAGCATCTATCTGGTCTTTTTTTAAATATAAATTTGTTTATTTATTAATTTTTAAACTTTTGGCTGCGTTGGGTCTTCATTGCTCCGCACAGGCTTTCTCTAGTTGTGGCTAGTGGGGGCTACTCTTCATTGCGGTGCATGGGCTTCTCATTGTGGTGGCTTCTCTTGTTGTGGAGCATGGGCTCTAGGCACACGGGCTTCAGTAGTTATGTTGCGCGGGCTCAGTAGTTGTGGCTTGCAGGCTCTAGAGCACAGGCTCAGTAGTTGTGGCACATGGGCTTAGTTGCTCCGTGGCATCTGGGATCTTCCTGAACCAGGGCTCGAACCCATGTCCCCTGCATGGGCAGGCAGATTCTTAACCACTGTGCCACCAGGGAAGTCCCCATGTCATAAAACTTAACTGAATGAAATTCTATATGTATTTTGAATATAAGAATAAAAATTCCCAGGGAAGTCAGGTCCTTGAGTGGGGGCCTACAGAGTAATTTTTTTTTTCCTGGTAAGGATAGAATGCCAAGAGGAAGAGGCCAGGGGCTTCCCTGGTGGCGCAGTGGTTGAGAGTCCGCCTGCCGATGCAGGGGAAGCGGGTTCGTGCCCCGGTCCGGGAAGATCCCACATGCCGCGGAGCGGCTGGGCCCGTGAGCCATGGCCGCTGAGCCTGCGCGTCCGGAGCCTGTGCTCCGCAACGGGAGAGGCCACAACAGTGAGAGGCCCGCGTACCGCAAAAAATACAAACAAAAAAAAAAAAAAGAGGAAGAGGCCAGGAGGAAGGCTGCTAGAGACCTGGATACGTGGGAATGTCTTTAGGCTTCATCTATGTTTGCCTCCATTTCTGAACACCTTTTACCTTTTGATAACTTCCAGTCTAAAAGACAAAGGGAGGAGGGATAAAAGGAACTGTACTATAGCTGTATTGGATAATCAAGAGGTGGAAAATGTTCTTCAGTGAGCTAAAATTATCTTGCAATCTCTTTGAAAAGAAGTAAGCAAAAATCTTTTTGAAGAGGAAGTCCCAATTTCTAGTAGAGACTGTCCTAGAAAGGTTAACTTTCCAAGTTGACAGAAAGTCATACCAAATGCTAACAGAGAATTTAAATGTCCCTGCAATATACAGATAGAAAATTCTTGGGGCGTTAGGCCTTTTTAATCTACCTTAAAAACATTACCTTTCCCTCTCTCTCCCCAGCTTTCTCCCCTCATGTGAAAATAAAGGAGAAACTTAATTTGCTTTGCTGACCTGAGGAAAAGTTTTCTATATGAAAAATGTATAAATTAGATCATAAAATGTTTATATGGCTATCTAATACTCTTAAGATATTTTCTGAATTCTATGACTTCTGCATTCTTGTTAGCTGACAACACATTAGAAGTTTGGAATGCCTGAATTTTAAAGTACAAAGACGGCATCCATTTTTGCCTGAACTCCTTAAAACTTCAGGAGATCCACTAACAGTCTAGAAGAGCCCTTCCCTTGGATTGGCAAGCCTTATGAATATGTAATGTTTTAGAGAGAGCGAGATATGGAATCTAATTATCAAGCCAAAGCTTTTTCCAAAATAATCATGTGCCCACAGGAATGAAATAGGAAATGAAACACACTACATTTAATTTGGATTAGGAGGTGGCCTTCCTAAGCAATTTATTAAAGTGTAAACAGTAATTATGTAGAAAGAACCTGGTGAGTAAATATGATAATTATGAAACTTATTAATTCACATTAATTAGTGGGGCAGCTAAACTGGATTACAAAGAGGTTTGAATTATATAATAGAATTACTAAAACTACTCCCTTGTTAGTCTGTCTGCTTCTCTTTCATCTCCATGCTATTCTGTATACAGCTCACCTGGTACACGGAGGAAGTGCTTTCTCTGAAGAAACAGCATGTAAAGCTAAGGCTCAGGGTTGGGACTATAAAACATCCATCTATTTCCTGCCTCTTACCCTCCTCATCCCCATCCCTCCCTATGACCTCAGAGTTTTAGATAAATGAAAATCGTCCAGCATTTAGGAGCACAAGCTATGAGACCTAGGTTTAAACCTCAGCCTTTTAGTAATTATAAGCTAAAAAATACCCACTTTATGACTAAGCATAAGAATACCTTAACATACCTATAAGTTTGGGGGAATGGGATGGGATTTTCCTAGATTCTTGGTGGAAGGTCTTTGTTAAGAAGCATGGTTGCAGCAACAAGGAACTCCTCCGGTAAGTCCTGGTGTCCATACCTCACTCATCCCATTGGATTCTGTAAGTGGGCTTGGTAATCAACATAGCCTGCATTATAGATTCCCATGTTATGGTTGAAGCATATTTGGGCTGTGTTTCTTGCATGATGTGGTCTCACCTGGGTTGGTAAATGCAATGACTAGCAAACCAGAGGGGATACATATGAAGTTGGAAGGCTCCAAGATTAATTTATCTTTTCATTGGAAACAGGAGCAAAAAACCCATTATTTCATTATTATTGTTTTGGCCTGAAGCAACATGAAAGGCATACCTAATCTTCTACGTGGATGGTTGCCCTGATGTTTGTTGCCTGTTTGCAGTTTATGGCTTTGTGCTTCCTGTTGTTGCCGGCATGTAACTTCTCCAGATTCTGGTTCCTGGTGATGTGGCTATGGCAAGCATACATGAGACAAATCAATGAGGGAGTGGTGAAAAATAAAAAAACCACAGCTGCAGTAGAACGGTATATTCTGAGCTTGGTAAGAGTTACTATGCTTCTGGTTTGGGGGCACGGAAGAGACCAGGTATCTCGGAGGTAGGTATCATAGAATAAAGGATATTCTGCTACAAGATATTTCAGTTTCTTTTTTGCTACTAGATTAGAAATGATAAACAGTAAGAGGCATTATGTAGATCTAGAAGACTTAAAGAGGGCTCTCCCAAAGCAGGGTAAAATTAAAGCCCTCAGTCTGAGACCATGAGTTTGAGACACTAGGGAAAAAATAACTTGTCTTTAGGCGGTCAGTTTGGAGTCTGGGGCTGGAGGCTGTCCATTGCAAATGATGAAGCAGGCCATTTCAGTTACTGTGGCCATGGTGACCAAAATGGAACCATGGGCCTGGAATGGGAGAAAACTGTGGGTGAAATTGTAAGACAATCCACAGGGTCTCAAACTTGAATCCTGATCTGCCAAAGGTCGTAATGGAAGGAGAATCTCCTCATAGGGAGGGGACTGCCAAATCTTGTAACTAAGACCTTTGTTTGAGACTAAGCTTTTCCTTGAAGATCTTTCATAAATCACCACTGACGCCATGGGGAGGACTTGGGGGCCAGGAAGGAGCACTCCCCTTTTTGCCTGCTTCTTAAATCCTTCAGCAGAGACCAATGTGGAACAGACTAGCCTGCTGCAATATTTGTTCGCCCTACTCCCCATCTGCCTACCCGTTCCTCACTTTCTAACCCCCACGCAATTTCCTGTCGTTGTTTTCCCCTTTATACTGATTAAATATAAAGTGTTAGTAATTTAAAGAATTCTATTTTCTTTTGAATTATCCAATAATGTATTATGCAGAAATGTCGAGCAAACTTGTACCGTTAGTGCTACACGGGAAAGTGCTTCATTTGAAACACATGAACTTGGATGCCTAGATGGATAGATTAAACTTGACTGAAGTTCAAGGATAAGTAGAGTGATGCATCAATAAGCAGACTAACAAAACATGAATATTTACCTTCATTTTTGGGTCTCCAGGAAAACCTCTTTGCCTGGGTCCTACTAGGCAGCTCTGTGGCAGAGGCCATTTCCCCAGACTCAGTGAGAGCCCTCAACATTTCTTACCTCCTCTAAGTCTGAACCCTAAGAAAGTAAATCCAGAAATGCCATCTTGCCTGTTCCATGCTGCAAGTATTCCTGTATGAGAATTCTCTTCTTCTTTGAATGATCGATGATGAGAACATTTACCTTATTTAGGGAAATCTTTACACCCTGCCCAGAGGGGTATGGCCTTATTCTATGACCACAAAAAATAAGGCTGTCAGGGTAAAAAACAATAGGCATGACATCTGAACTCATGATTTGTGCAAAAGGAAAGCGGGTGGAGAGAGGCTTCACTCTATTAATACACAGCTCAGAAGTGAGGCTGACAGCCCTGGACCTCACCTGGGCACAGGTGTCACAGGTGCTGTATGGTGCAGGGCACTGTGGCGGATTCGGGGTTCTCAGAGGTCACCACAGATTGATTTCTGTGCTTTATCAACGCCTCATCTTGTACACCAGTGCAGCAGTATCAAGGTCCAGTTAGAACACCCAGGCCTGACTCCCCAAGCAAGTGGATACATAAAGTTAGTCATTATGATCTAAGAGGCTTCCTTCGCTGCATGCACCCCTCTTCCGAGTCACACCAGGTTTGAGGTACAGCTGTTCAAGGAGTTCAACTGCCTGCTGCTGCTGTTGGGTAAGGGCCATAAGGTCCAAGCTCTCACGCTGAAAGATCTCACAGCGTGCAATGTGGGAGCCAGGACACCCAGAACTTCCTGGAATATAGGTGATCTTAAAATTTAGCTGTTGAAAAGATATCCCAACATCTCCACCCCAACTTACCTGCCCAGAGGTTCACAACTACCCTGATTCAGATAAGCAGGGCGTGGTTCCTTTTGAACTCTCTAGTTTCAAAGGCAGCTTCCATGGCCAACAGTTTTGTTTTATTTATTTATTTTTGGCTGCATTGGGTCTTCGTTGCCGCACGCGGGCTTTCTCTAGCTGCAGCGAGCGGGGGCTACTCTTTGTTGTGATGCGTGGGCTTCTCATTGTGGTGGCTTCTCTTGTTGCGGAGCACGGGCTCTAGGCACGCGGGCTCAGTAGTTGTGGCTTGCGGGCTCTAGAGCACAGGCTCAGTAGCTGTGGCACATGGGCTTAGTTGCTCCGTGGCATGTGGGATCTTCCCGAACCAGGGCTCAAACCCGTGTCCCCTGCATTGGCAGGTGGATTCTTAAACACTGCATCACCGGGAAAGCCCTGGCCAACAGTTTTTATAATGACTGTTTAGCTTTACCAGTGGTAGAAGCAACCTAGAACATGGTCTTCCTAAGATGGCCTTCAAAGTCTATTGATTAGTCTCCTATGGTATTATCAGTTACAAATGACAATTTCTACTCATATTTATACTGAAAACTAAATAATGACTACTTCCTGTTAATTCCAGACAATGCTGATTATGTGACTTTGGGGCAGTTACTTAACATCTCTGTGTGTTACCTCTGTAACTGTATCTGTCTGTAAAATAGGGATTATATTAGTACCTAGTCCAGAGACTTTCCTGGTGGTCCAGTGGCTAAGACTCTGCACTCCCAATGCAGGCGGCCCGGGTTTGATCCCTGGTCAGGGAACCAGATCCCCCATGCCGCAACTAAAGATCCCACATGCCGCAACGTGCCACAACTAAGACCTGGCACAGTCCAATAAATATTTTTTAAAATAATTTTAAAAAATAGCAACTAGTCCATAGCATTTTTATGAGGAGTCAATGAGTTAATATGTGTAAAAAGCTTAGATCGATGCCTGGCATATACTAAATATTCCCTAAATCTTAGCCATCATCAATTTATCGTTATTGTTATTCCCCCACCCTCAGCCCACCTGCCTAGAATACTAAAGACAGCAAGGGAGGGAGGGAGGGAGGGAAGAAGGAAGGAAGAAAGGAAGAGACAAGAGAGAGGAAAAAAAGAAGGAAGGGGCAAGCTCACGGTTAGCCGGGGTCAAGGAAGTAGACAGGCTAGCAAATATGTAGGACCATGCCTAAAAGAAATGCTTGCTAGCAAAGGTCCTAAACAGTGATGTAGGTTACAAACAGCATAGGCCAAAACTAGCCTGTGCTGGCAGAGACAAGAAGCAGGAGACAAAAGCCATATCAGACCACTGAATGGAATAAGGGTATGGGAACTGGACTGCCATAAGGAGAGCCTTATGCAGTTTCGCTGAAAACAAACTGAATTAGAGGATAAATAGGTCAAAAAGGAATATTCTTGTTACCTGTTCCCCATATGGACTGTTCTGAACTTTTCATTTTCCACATTCCCAATTAAATTGCTATAAATGTTAAATGGGGGGAATGTTCTTAATCTATTAAGTATTATTGTGTTTTAAAAGAATCCTTTCCTGTTATTTCCTACGTCACAGAAATGATGGAGTAACTGGGGGAATGTAAATGAAGTTCACAGTTGAATTCCAGAGAAAATACACGGTAATTTTATTATTCTCGTTTTCCAGATAAAGCAGTTGAGTAACTTTCTCAACTTGAATAATAACTAGTTGTTATGAACTTTCAAATTTTGCATTTGCATGTCTCATCTCATTACTAATTTCTGAAGTTATAACTCTTACCTTGAAATCTTCAGAAGTTTTGTTCACTTACTGACAAGCTTGCAAACTGCCTATCAACCTTTAAAATAGAAAAGTGTACCTAGAAAATGTTGTGATGAAGGCAAAAGCCACTAGGGAGCACCATACCTTCTCTGATTTTGAAAGACCCCATGATGAAATGCTTTTATCTTAAAGACTGCTTGGAACTGTAAGAACCTGGAGCCTAGAGATCTGGTTCTTCCGATCATGCCACTTATTAGATGGGTGGCCTTAGAAAAGCCTTTTAGCTTCCCCAGACCTTAATTTCGCTTTCTGTAAAATGTAGGGGGTTATGCTAGATGATCTTCAACCGCCTCTCAGCTCTAAATTTCTGATCTTATGCTTACTAGTTTACCTCTTCAGTGTCTCATGGATTAATCAGGAAGAAAACCTGGCAGAAAAGCAAAAATTTTACCTGTGTCATTTCATTATTTTTGCCAGCTCACCCACGCCGTTTCTACTTTTTCAGCTAAGAACCCTGGAGTTGCTTTTTTTTTAATCTTTTACTTTGTTTCCTTTATTTATTTTTTGGCTGCGCAGCATGTGGGACCTTCGCTCCCCAACCAGGGATCGAACCTGCGTCCCCTGCATTGGAAGTGCAGAGTCTTAACCACTGGACAGCCAGGGAAGTCTCACCTTGGGGATGTTTCTGATCTTTGCCTCATACACTTTATGGACAAATTATACCAATATTAATTCATAAACATTTGTAGAGCACTTTCCAAGTTTCACTGCTTTTGCGAATACTATCTTATTTGACTCACAACAGCTCAGGCTGGTAGATATTACCTTCAACTTATCTGGTAAGAAAACTGAGGCCAGAATAGGTCAGTGAATTAACTGCCTAAAGTAACAGGGATAATAAGTTATGGGAACAAGTCTGATTCCAAAGCCTATGTTCTTTTCACAACACTACAGATCCTACTAGGAGCAGATCCAGATTTTATGGGGCTTGAGGTATATATAATTTTGGTGGATAGCTTCAAGAAAAGGAATACAAAACTACAATACAACACTAAGTATGACCCTGTGACTACACTGTTAGGACCAAGTGAGGGAACTTCAGAGTTAATCTTTAGGATTCAATTTCATGGTTTTCCATGGTTATACATTTATTTAGTGCTTACTATATGCCAGACACTAAAGTAAATACTGACTTTATTATCATAACAACTCTACGGGGAAGGTAGTGCTCTTGTTTTACAGAGCAGAGAATGAGGGAGGGTCAGAGAGGTAAAATGATTTGCCTAGGCACAAAGAGGTAGTTAAGTGCCAAGTATCAAAGTTGGAATTCAGATCTGATCCTGGGTCCATATCGTTAATCTACCACACTATGCTCCTCTATAAGCCTTCTTTTGAGGTTTCCTGGGAATCATCTTATTCTACTACTTACCACTACATTCCATTGTTCAGGTCCTGATAGTTCACCTCTGAACCAGTCCTAGTTTGTCTCCCTAATTCAACTCTCCTACCACCTACCCTGAATGCTGCTACTACCCTAACAGTCCTGAAGCACTGCCGTTCTAAATCCCGACCACCCGCAACACCAGAAGAGCCTTCCTTCTCTGCATTTATTATTTTCTCTGCATTTATCAAAGGTAAAAATCGATTACTGCTTATAAGCAGTACTTGGCTATAGATTCCATACTGTCTTCTAATGTGCTGAACTGTTACTGAAAGCTTTTTGTTGTGTGAAACAGAGTCAGAGTGGGAGAGAGGAAGAAAGCACACGGAAGCATTCAGAATTTTATCCTTCAATCCCCACTCCATCACAATCTAGGTTCCTCACTTGCAAACAAAAAGCTGAAGGCCAACCTCACAGGGTTGTAGAGGGAATTAAGTAAGGAGAGGGGGAGGGGAGGAGAGGGGGGCAGGGTTAGGGCAGGCTCCAAGTACTTGTCAATGTTGGTGGATTTCTACCTGACTCCCCCTCCCCCAAAATTTGTAAGGCAGGGGCCTTGATTCGTACATTCTTGGCATTTCTCAAAAGAAATTCCTCGGAGACCTCAGAAGCACTCCAGGATTATTTAATTTGATCACTTCAACAACACCATAGGGTTGTGAGGATAGCTCAGGTGAACTGCTAAGAATACAATCGGCCCTTCAGAACTGTGAGCTATAATTATATTTTGTCCCAAATCCTCAGCGTCCATAAAAAGTTGGCCTCTCTGCAGTCTCATTTCTTCATATTTCCGACACACAGACCCTCCCTTGGGACCAGTGTCGCCGCCGTCAGACGTGCTCTTCTCTCCCGACTTCTGCCTTTATACCCACCATTCACCAAATGCTACAGACCAGGCTCTGTAGGAAGAAGGTTCCATAAATTCTCTCAAAACCACCAAAAGCCCTTCTAAGGTCGCTTCTACTACTGTTGCCATTTTAGGGAGCAGGAAACAGGCCCTGAGGATTTGAGTGACTTCCCCGAGGTCACAGAACTCAAGCAGCGAGCCCACAGCCCACGCTCTTAACCTCTAGCCCTCGGCCTCTTCCCGGGTCGGAGGTGCACCCGCGTCCACTCAAACCCCGCCCAGTCCCCCACTTCCAGTCACTTCCCCGCTCTTCCGCGCGCCCATCTCCCCCCCACACCTGAGTCAGGAGCCGGGGGACACGCCCCATCCGTCCTTAGCGGTTTCCCCCTTTTCTCTGGCAGAGACTGAGGGCGAGATCGACGTTGGTGTCCCAGATGCGAGTAGGTCACCCCGAGGTCCTCCGACGGCTGGCCGAAAGGGCGAGTCCCCCACAGCAGTGCGGCAACGCGGTCGGCGTTGCATAGCGGGGCGCAGCTTTCGGGTCCTGTCGGGCCGCCGGTCACGTGGCGGGGAGGGGGCGCCAGCGCGCGCGAGAGAGTGAGCGGGCGCGCGCCTGAGAGCTGTGGAGGCGCGAGTTGCGGTTCGGGTGTGAGTGTAGGGGGGAGGGGGCGGTGGCCGGGAGGGCCGACTCCGCCCCCTGTGCGCATGCTCCGGCCCCGGCCAGTTATAAAGCAGCCTCGCTGGCCCGGCCCGACAAAGTGCTGGCGAGCTGCGACGTGACTACTCGGTCGCGTGGGTTCCCGGGCGAGCAGACGAGGCAGCCGGTGAAAGACGCTACCTGGACCCTGGGCCCTGCGGGACTCCAGCCGCGCCGCGGCGTCACGTTCACGCTCGGCGCCGCGAGCCGCGCATAACGGTTAGTTGGTAACTGGCGGCCGCACGTTCGGCCGGGACCCCGCGGTGCCCTTGCTTCCTCGGCTGGGTCGGAGGGAGCCTCGGGGGAGTGGAGGGCTTGGTCTCCGGGGGAGGGGGGGCGGCCGGGCGGGGGCATCTTGGCCGCAGCAGCCACGTGGCCTCGGAGCGCAGTGTTGGTGAAGGAGACCCTGAGGCGCTGGGGACAGCGCTTTTCCCGGCAGAGCTGCAGCCCCGTTGTCAGGTGCGGGCCACCGGCCTGGTCGAGGAGTGGGGTCGAGCTGCCGGTGACCTTGGGGAAGTCGCTTCTCCTCTACTGTTAAGTAGGCTGCTCCGGAGATGCTTTTGATCTGGGAAAGGATCGACGTGAGGCCGATTCACGTGGTGCCTCCAGACTGCTGGCGGCTTTCTCCCGGTACTCGGGGCGGGAGTTATTTTGGACTCGTGGCACGCCCGCCCCAACCTCCTCGGCCAACCAATCCTTGTCCCACCTGGCGACTTGGCGGTAGTGGCCTGAGGGAGCTGCAGTCCCTGCAGCCTAGGCGTGACTGCAGTGTCTGAGAGGACTTTGAGGAGGGGACGTTGCAACTGGCAGACGCCCGGAGTGGTGCTGACGGGAACTCTTTGTCATTCAACCTGTAGCTGTAGAACGTCCGCCGCAGCGCCCTCGCTCTGGGGCTTTAAGGCGGCCCTGTCGGGAGGAATCTGAAGCATAGCGTTACACTTGGTCTGATGCACGTTTTTTGTTCCAAATTCATCCTCTTTTTCCACGTGCATTTTAACATTTCATTTATTTGTCATGACTTATTTGGTGCGACAAGCAGTTAGTTGCCAAAACTAGTTTGTAATTAATCTTAATCAAAAAAACAAACATTACTCACCCCAAAACAAACGTTACTACTTTAGTCGAGTTTCCAGTTTGCTTATAAACTAGGCATCTACTGATAACAGTAAAATGTTGACAAGCTACTTTATTTGTCAGAACTAGTTTTGAAATTTTTTTTTCAAAAATTATTCTGGTTTCGAAATAAAATGTGTACACTTTAGTGCCCTGATAAAACAAATGTGGGTATAGTTACTAGAGGAATGTAGTGATAGGGTGAACTCTGAATTGTGTGAGAGTTTGAAAGAGTGTAAGTAGGAATTAGCCATTAATCAGTTTTGATGTCAGCTACCAGACCAGTGAGGTGATGCAGAGAGTCTGTATTTTAGTGTAGTTTTTTTAGTTAGGCTCTAAATATACCTATAAATCCGGGTTTTATACCATAGGGTATAATTTTGCCTTCAAATTGCCATAGATATAATAAAGAATTTAAGAAATCTAGCCCTTAAAACAAGTATTGGGTAAGTATTAAACAAAAGTTGCACTTCAGTAATTCGGGGATTAGATAGATGCTGTTCTTTCATTGGATTGCAGTGATCCTTGTTAAAAATGCAAGTTAATGGTCTGGGGAGCATTACCTGAGATCTTTATAGCTGAATAGGTTCAAAGGTTTAGTTGTAAGCTTAACATAATAGGCTATAGCATACCTAAAGAGATTAAAAAGGAAAAAGGATCATGCCACCATAGGATGAACCAACTGATCAGTGTTTCAATAGTTTACATATTTTTAGCCTTTTAAATATTAATGCATATAACTCTGGAAAAGATGTTAATGACCAGCTAGTCAGTTTCCCTTATTTTATAGATTAGGAAGCTAAGGTTGGAGAGGGTAAGTGACTTCTCATCTTAGTTCTGAAAACTTTTTAATGGTTGGGTGGAGATGATGTGTCTTTTGACTCCCATTTAGTGAGTTCGGCGCTCCTGTGCGTTCTCTAAAATTATAAATATAGATATGAATTATCTCATGCCAAAAAACAGTTATTTTGAATAATAACTTCCCAACTTCTTACATCCTTCATTCCCACTATATTTTACATCCACTTCATAATATGCATGCCTATGCAGGATTTAGGTCCCTGTAAATGCCTACATGGCCAATCTCATTTTGTTAGAGGACAAGGGAGATGCGACTTGATTTATTATTGGCTGCCAGGCACTAGGATTCAGAGAGAGCTAGGATTCAGCAATGAACAAGTTCTAGCCCTGTCACTCCCAGAGTTTATGGTGTAACTGGAAAACAAATGTATAATTACCAGAACAAGTACTCTTTACAAACAAGTATTGAGTATATGATCGAGGAAGTACAGGTTCCTTTGGGAACAAATACTGTATTATGTAGGTGTGAGAAAACTCCCAATTTAGTATAGAAGCAAAGGTAGGCCTCTCCGAGGAAATGCTATTTAACCCGAGAATTGAAGGATGAATAGGAGCTAGTTAGGCCAGGGAGTGATAGTGGAAAGAGCATTACAGACATGAGTACTAAAGCTACAATCAGTACAGGGTACATTAGAAAAACGTATAGAATTTCAGCAAAGCTAAAGCATGAAGAGGGAGCAGAGAGAATGGGGAAAGATGGAAGTAGACAATATCAGATAATGAAAGGCCTTATTAGTCATCTTAAGGAAATAGGGCAGGGACTAGGTAAAAAAAACTTAAGGAAGTGCTCCTGTCTTGAAGCTAAATGAAGCAGTTTAATGGTTTTAAATGGGGCTGGGAATAGCATGATCAGATTTTGAATTTTAGGAATATCACTCTGGATACAAAGTGGACAATAGGTTGGAGGGAGGCTGTTGGAGTTTTGTTAGACCACAGTGATGGACAAGATGGACAGTAGTGGGAAGATGGAAGAGAGAGGGGAACAGACAGGATTCAGTGATAGACCAGATGTGGGAGACTGGGGAAGCCAGAGAAGTTAAAAATATCTCCCAGGTTTCTGGCTTGAGCAAATGAGTTTATTATTTTTATCCATTTAACCAATGTGGACATTAAGAGGTTGTGTGACTAGCCCAGGGCTGTTCGACTTGTAAGGGTTAGAAACAAGACTCAAATCCATTTTTGTCCTTTCTGTGTTTTTGCTGTTATTGATAGTGATTTTTTTCCCTTCTAAATAATTTATTATGGAAAGTTTCAAACCCAATTGAAGTTTCAAACAGCCATTACTGTTTCATCTGTACTCCTACTTACTCCCTGCTGCCCCCTACTGGATTATTGTGAAGCAAAACATAGATATGCATTTCATCTGTAAATATTTTCAGTATATCTCTAGAAGATATGACTCTTAAAAAACCATAACCACAATACCATTATCCCACCTTTAAGCGTTAACATCACCAAATAACCAGGCAGTATTCAATTTTTCCTAAATTGTTTCAAAGTAAGTGGTCTGTTTGATTGGGATCCAAATTACATTTGGTTGGTATGTCTTTTAAACTACAGGTTCCCCTTTTCTCTCTTATTTTCCTCGTAAGTTACTTGTTGATGGAACCGGGTTATTTTTTCTGCAGTTTCCCTCATTCTGGATTTTGTTGACTGTCCCTCTGGTATAGGTTTAACATGTTCTCCTATCCCTCGTATTTTCTGTAAATTTGTAGATAGATTGAGGTTGGATTTCTGAGAGGAGGCATGGTATGGTGGAGAGGGCAAATATAATTCATAGGTGGTGGTGTGTATTTTTCCATCAGGAGGCATATGATGTTTGGTTGTCCCTCATTCTGCTACATTGATGGCCTCGTTCCGTTATTTCATTAGTGGTTTGCAAATGGCAATAATTTAATTGTGCCTTTAATTCTAACATTCCTTCATTATTGATTAGCTAGAATACCTCTATAAAAGAGAGGTAGTTGGAATAGGAAGGACAAGTTAAAAGTTTGTGTGCTTTAATACAATACCATATATGATCACAACACTTTCTTTGTGGAGAAATGTATTTCAATGTAACAAGGTACATCCTCTTTAAAAAGCCAGTACATATTTTGTTAGGTTGTTTTTTAGCACTTGATGTTAATGTTTCGAATAGCTTTTAGTATTTGGGATATTTAGAATTTCTGTTCTTAAATTGGTAGGGATTCTTTTGGTCTTTGTTCTTTCTTGAAGAGCTTATCTGTTCCCATAGCTTTGGGGGAATTTCTGGTAGAATCACTCCCTAACCAAATCTAAATCTCTAGCTGTAACCAGATTACAGATTTTAAATTCCTTGAGGACAGGGATTGACTACTCCAGGTAGCCAAACTTAAAATCTGAGTCAGTTTAATAGTTCTCCAGTGGGCCCCCACTCTACCAAATGCAATTAAGTGCCAGCCCCTTCTCCCCTTTGTTGTCTCCTGTCCACTCCTTCCCACCCTATTCTACTCCCCTTTTTCATTCTTATTACTGCTACCTAATTTAGGCTGCTGTCATTATTAGATTGGTACAGTGGCCTTTTAAGTTTTATGTTACTCATCCTTTAATTTGCCCTGACAAATTTTTCTCCATGCTTTTTTCCTCTAATTTTTTTCTTTTACTTCTCCCTCTCTCTCCTCTCCCTCTTCTCCCTCCTCTTCCTCCTCTTCCCCTTCCCCTTCCCCTTCTCCTTCCCCCCACCTCTTTCTCCCTCTCTGTTTTTGGTTGTAGGATCCATTTTATAATGGATTTATGGCAGGAAGACTAGTGTAGGTGACCTGTTTGAGCCATAGTGTCTTTGCAGACAAGTGATTAAAAGAGCAATAATGATCTTATAGAAATGGTGATTTCTCTCCTGGGGCCACAGTATACACAATAGCTACATGAGTTCACATCCAGGACTGTGTGACTGGCTGCACGGGCT